CTGTTGCTTTATTGTGAACTGCCCAGAGTCACTTTTTCGTGAGATGGGCAGTATCTACATTTGAAATATATATAAATAAATAAAATGGCAGCTACAGGGTCAGCCCTTGCCTACCTGAGCTACTGTGCCACAGCTGTCAAAAAGCCAAACTCCATTTTAGGATATGAAAGCAAAACTCTCAATATTTTTTTATTTTTGATTGATGGGTTACACAGGCTTCTGTGCGCCACTCCATAAGGTGGAGATGTACAGGTTACCCTGAGCAAAAGTAACAGTCACAATACAGATGAGTAGTTGTCCAAAGTAATTGGGTCAAGCAGTAGCTTTGAGGGAGGTACCGTGACCCTCACCCAAGGATCCCCTACCGTTGCCCACACCCAGCCTCCTGCCACCCCCCTGGAAACTTTACAGGGCAGGGATCGACTTTAATCCCTCCCCCCCCAGTCCTGAATTTGCTGTTTTCACAGTAGCTGCCCGTAGATCGATGCTGGACTCTTGGCCGCGATCCTGAGGTGCTGGTCTGGGTTGCCCTTGCAGCTGCTTTTCCATCAGGATACTTGGTGGCTCAGAGGAAGGTTGCAGGCTTCTGGGGTCAGTCCCCCTGCGTAGGCCAGAGCAGACGAGCATCTCCACAGGAAAAATAGGTCAAGATAATGGAGGTCATAACTACCGAATTTTGCAAGTCTGATTGTGCTTCTAGCCCCCCCACCGCCACTTATACCCAGTGAATTAGGGAGGCATCTGCCACTTCTGAATATTATCTTGCTTCCCAGAACTTCTTTAACATTTCTTTGCCTAGATAACAGTTCTTGCATACTTCTGTCAAGGTCATCTCCCCTGCTCTCTACACCTCGCTGCATCAGAGCATTTGCGATAGTATGCTTTTTAAAGCTTACCCTAAATTGCGTTTACAATCTTTTTTTTTTTTTTTTTGCTTTAATCAGTCTAAAACATTTGACGTTCCCTGAAACTTGGCCAAATCATCTGTAAATAAGCCGAGGACAGCAGTCCTAGTATAAATTGTCAGGAGAAAAACCATCTGTACATCCTCCATTATGAGAAGTGCCCAGTTATTGCTGCACCTTTATTGACCTGTCAGACCTTTCTACTTATCCCAGAGTGGCTACATTCAGGCAGGAGGCTTTGGTGAGGGACTTTGACAAAATCCTTTAGGCAGTCCAAGTGAACTGTGTCCATCAGATTATCTCTAAATATTTTCACCTTGCTTCCAACCCTTGTGATGATCATCTCAAAGTGAAATCTGCCCAGTAGCCGAGGTCACTTCAGAAAGGAGTTAAACAGTTAATGAGGGAAGGAGAGGTCTAGCAAAGCTTCGAGACCTGCTTGTTGAGGAGCAACAGTGGCAGAAGATTCCCAGAGGGCCACAGTTGGGATCAGAGGCACCTCTTGATCTTGACTCCACAGGGCTGTTCTTGCCCAAAGAGACAACTTTTGCTAAAGAAGAAGTCATTTTCTACAGCATGTATGGTTTTCTCCGTATTCTGTGTTTCTAAAAGCCTCCTTCTTTCCTGTGATGCACAACTCTGTACTGGAACAAATGTGTTTCTTTCTCAGATACTCTTGACACCAGCAGCTCCCAGAAACTCTTGATGAAAACAGGACTCGTCCTGATAGTCATTGGTCACCTGAACTTCATTACGGGAGCCCTGGTCAATGGGACGGTGTTGCGCCACATTGCCAACCCTCAAGATACCATTTCGGTGCAGTATGCCGTCTCTAACATCATTACGGCCATCTCGGCCATCTTGGTACGTTGCCTGGTTTCTACGATATGGAGGAGGACGGGTGGAAGGACCAGCCCGGTCATCTCTCCGTTCTGCTGCCTTGTAGACACAGACTTGGCTGCAGGGCATACCAAAATATTACTGGCAAAGCAAAGCTCATTCTTCCTCCCAGACGATGTGGGTCCCTTGGATAAGCTAGCCCCCAGCCAAAAAGTGTCTCATGCAAATTATTCTTACTTTAACTGCCAAAATTTAGAGTCAGATGGAGAGCAAAAATCAGTTACTAATCCTGATGGGCACCCACCATCAAAGTGCCATCTGATTTTCTTCTCTCTCTCAATGATAAAGTTGGGAATCATGCCAAAAATAGCGTTAATTTGTTGTGACTAAAGTTGGGATGATTCTGCAATTCCAAAAGGCAAGCATAATTCTAAAGTTATCGCCTTGCTAGAGATCTCAGACTCCTTAGAACAGAACAACCGCTGTCAGTCTTGGAACCAAGAAAACGAATTCCTGCAAAGCTATCGGCTGTTCTCAACTTGCGGGAATTTTATCTTGAAGACAAAATCGGGGGGGGGGGGAGGGGGGGTTGCATCACCGTAATCTGCTGCTGCTCTTTGCATGGGGTGATTTCCTGACATCGGTGTTCCCTTTACAGACGATATCCTGTGGAATAGCAGCAATTGTGCTTTCCAGATACTTAACCCAGAAATCACTGGTAAGAAACCTTGTCCCTGGCGGCAGTTTGGAGCAGAAATATATCCAGTAAGGAGATGAGTTAGGCTTCAGGATAAGAATTCAGCTGTTTGCAGAAACTCTTTCTACCTCTGTTCGGAAAGAACCATAGAATCCTAGGGGTGGAAGGGACCTTGGAGGTCTTCTAGTCCAGCCCCCTGCCCAAGGCGGGGGTCAGGAAAGAGCAGATTAAACCTGAGCAGGAGGCAGGAATGGCTCCTCATTTTTTCTCCTTTAACCCCCACCACGCCCAGAATCTGCTTGTCGTCATTGACAGCAGCAGCTTCACCGCTTGTCCCACCTGGAAGGCGAGATAATGCCAGAGAGCATTTAATAACGCCATAAAATCATGCTTTAACTCACACAGTGCAAAGAATGAACAGCCTTTCCCAGCCATATAGGGCATTTTGTAGTTCCCTTGTAATCTGTTTAAAACTTTACTGGGGCAATTCTGCTAGAAACAAATCCTTCCTCCTTGAAGGAATTATAATTGGGCCTTTGCATGCAACTCTGTTTATTTACTGCATTTTGAATCTGTCCAGTAATGAGAGCTTTTTAGGCAGACTGCAAAACGAGTAATATAAATGTGCATTATCTAAAATTCATCTATGCAGATTATTTCCCTAACGTGCAAATTCTAAAGGCTGGTGTAGTGGGAAACCTTGCACAAAATCTTGTCAGTTATATAAAAATGCATTAATTAGGGCATCCAAAATGCAAATCAATATCCACCATGCATGAAAATCATCTTCATTATCTTAAAATCCTGAATTGGTTCCTTCCATTCAGTGATGGCTCCCTTAAGAAACATTCAATTTGCTGTTGTCCATATTGGAAGGACTTAATTGCCATTTCTGGCAGGATGATGATGAAGATTGATTACATGTATTATAGCTGCCCACTCTAAAAATTGAGTTTGCCAAGAAAGAATTTCTCCACTCTGAACATAAAGCCCTTTAGATCAGTGTTTCTCATCCAGCATGGGGAATTCTGGGAATTGAAGTCCGCACATCTTTAAGTTGCTAAGGTTGAAAAACACTGCTTTGTGGCTTGGATGTCAGCTTGCAGAGTCCCCTTCCCTCCAGATGTGTTGGGCTCCAGTCCCTACAGTTTACAGCCCTAGGATTGTAGGAATTGAAGACCAAGACATTTGGGGATATCACATTTGTAGAAGCAGGAGGATGAAATATTAATGTCTTGTGAAATGCTCAAATGGCATTCATAAAGTTGTTTGATTCTAGTTCAGCTGCATACATGATGTGACCTCTCTTCCCCAATCTTCGAGTGACTTCTGAACTATTCTGAGTTTGATCTCTGGCTATAGAAAGCCATTTTGCTGGGTTCACCTATCATTCTAACTATGTTTACTTCACAGTCTTAACCACAAGTAAACAAGCCATATTTTAGCATGGTATATGTTGTATGAATTCAGAAAGTTGGGTTAATTTTGTGAAGTGGCTAAGCTAACTGGCACAAGTGTAAAAACTGAACCAGTCTTTTAGTTTGGTTTTGTGTGATGGGTGAACCCATTCATTGTGCTTTGTAAACTCTGATTTATGGGTTAGCCTGTTGTCTGAACTCTGCTGCTCTACACATCTTCTGTGGCAGCACCTGCCCTCTGGAACACCATACCCCCGAGATTAGGTTGGCCCAAACCCCGCCAGCCTTTCACAAAGCGCTGAAGACCTGGATGTGCTCCAGAGTACGGAGGTTGGGAAGTTAAATGGCCCATGAGATTGTTACCATGGAGTGTTTATTGGGTTTGCCCTCAGCAACCATTGTAGGCTTTTTAATGTTTCCTATTTTTTAATGTGCTGTTGGCTACCCAGAGTCACATCTGGGAGATGGTGGGGGGCATATAAATCAATCTAATACATACAAATTCAGTAATTCATAAATATAATGGTTAACATGTGGAATGGACTTGCTAGCAAGATGAAGCTTAGCACAAGAGCTTCACGGTTCTCTCTCTTCTGCAGGGATGGGCGGTTTTCTCCCTCAGCATCAGCAGCACCCTCCTCTCGCTTTTCTGCTCGGTGGGGCTGGCAGTTGCCATTGGCCTGACCTTTGCCAACAGGGGCCATGCCCTTCTGGCTCTGTGCACTTTTGCTGACGTGGAGCTCATTCAGATTTCCCACGAGTGTCCCTTCGATCCCACACGGATTTATGTAAGTCTGCCAAAAAGGACCTAGAACTCCTGCTACCAGAAGGTGGTCGGGGCGGGGAAGGTGTTCCTCTAGAAGCTGAGGCATCATCTTCCTGAAGGGGTGTCTGTGAAAAAAAGGCTCAGCAATATTTTTGGGGTACAGAAGATAATACTCTTAAGTCTGGGGTTTTTAGCCCTGCTTTGCCTGCCAAACAATCTCCAGCAGGTTGACTCATCATGAGGTGTATACTCAGAGCAGTGTAGAACCACAGCAGCTGTTGGGGGTCATTCCTGCACTGGAATTGTGATGCCCATCACCCTGGACAGCATGGATCATCCTTGGTGGCTGGAAGTCGGTGTGGGTGGATGGCTCCATCAGTTGAGCCATGCCTCCTCCCTCTGGAATTTGGTGCACGTTGATCTCCGGAACCTGCGGGTTGGAGGCCGCCTCGTTTTTTCCTGACCTTCCGTGTCCTCTCCCTAGAGTTCTGCCCTGGCCCTCTGGGGGCTCTCCTTCCTCTTGGACTCCGTGGAGATCATCTTCAGCGTCCGCTGCTTTCTGATCACTCTTACCATCCTGAACGTGAAGCTTTGTCGCCGGGGGAAGCGCAAGAAAAAGGTAACTCTTCCCCTCCCGCTTCTTCCCTGCAGAATTGGAGGAGGACAGTCAGGGAGAAAGAGCAGAAGATCTGCCACAAGTCCTTCGTGCTTTGGAGAAAGGCGTATTATACTCTCCTACCCCCTCGCTCCCCTCCACAATACATTGCCCTTGTTCTGTTTCCAAACTCCCATTTCTGTTTATAGTCAAAGATTGGTGGCTCCTTAGTACTGTGACCCAGAGCAGTTCCCCAGAAGGAAGGGCATTCTAACGCCGGCTTTGCCCTCGGGCGCATCCTAGACTCTGAATCTGCAGATCTCGTTATGCATTTGTCAGGCATTCAGCTTCAGATCTGAGCCTTTGAGGCTTTTGAACCGTGTCTTAGTAATCCGGCCAGATTCAAATAATATGTTGCTTGCAACTTGCTCGCCAATTTGCATCTCATTAAATCTGGTCTTACCTGATATGCAAATACCTGTTGAAAACAGGCCTGTCAGACAGGAAGTTCCGTTGGCCTAACCTCCTAACTAACCCTCACAGACATCCGGCCTTTCGTGTTTTGCCGGGTGCGCTGCAGCCGAGTTCGGCCAAGGCGTGCCAGCAGAGGGATCGGGAATGTCAGAAAACGTGGGCCGGGCTTGTTCCAGATAATATTGGTGGGGTTTCTACTACCCTTAGGATTTATTTCAAGAGTAAGGCAAAAGTATCTCAGAATGATTACAAGGAACAAGCAGGTGCTTCTAAAAATATGCATCAGCTGAAACGCCAAGATGTGAATGGAGAGCGGTTTGCTTGTGCCAAGGCCTTCGAGGGGGTGGGATGGGGAGTATGTCAACATTTGCAAGATGGTGGGTGTGGCATTGCGGTTGGCACCCTACTGCTTTTTTATGTGCATGCGTTTCAGTGCACGCACACCTAAAAGCAGCAGGGTGTCAATTGCAATTGCCTGCCATCTTGCAGATGCTGACCTCTCTGTGGATGCCCTGGGTGCGATCTTCCCTTGCACTGCAAAAGCTTTTAACTGGAAGAACAGGCACAGCCGCCAGACAGCTTCCCAGTCCTAGAATCTTGGCAGGAGCCAACCCCAGGTGCTTGGGCCACGCGGCACGGGGGTCTCGCCTTCCTTTCGGCTGATGGCACCGCCTTGCTTTAAAGGTCTCGCTGCAGTTCATCACCACCGAGAGCGGAGACCCCTGCGAGGGACGGGATCTGCTGAGGATGGAGCGCATTGACACTGTGCAGCTTTAGAGGCCAAACCTTGTCGCTTGGGTGACTCTTGCCGGCAAAAACCCCACGGACTCTTCTGCGGCACCTTTCTGACTGTCCCGTCAGTTTCACCATCCAGCCTCACTGACTGCTGGGAGGGCTGAAGCCTGCCGTGGGAGACGGCTGAGGTCTGGTTTCTTCTTCTTCTTCTTCTTCTGAGGTCTGAATGGTCTTGTGCTTTGTACATGTCTCCCAAGCGTCTTTCTCCTCTGGACCAACAGCGAGGGCCAAACACTTATGTTCCAAGCTTGGCTTTCTCAAAAGAGGCTGTTAGCTGTTTCCCAGAGACAAACCTCTTTTATTCTGGTGCACACACGCGCACCCCCACATGTGAGTCTCCCTGCTTGCTCCACACGTTCTTCTAGGAGGGGTGGACCAGCGGTTGCAGACGGAGCCACGTCCTTCTCTCCAGCGCAGGGCCAATGACGCTCTGGGCCAATTCTCAGGGAGCAGAGTCACCCCAGAGCGATGGGAGCTCAATGGCCGGGGAAGAGGCTCTAGCAGGACCACGCCGAGGAGAGAAGGGGAGCACGAGGGGTCAGTGGGGGCTTTCTTTGACACGCGCTTTCAGGAATTTGCATTCTGCTATCGCCGCTTAAGCAGGGAGTGAAAGTATGGGAAATGACCTTTAGAGGGTTGGTGTGTTGACAAAATGTGCAGATTTACACTTGCTTTCCTTGTATCTGTAAATATTTAAATCTACTGAAACAATGAGCGTGGAGGCAACTGATTGATAGCTGCAAAAGTGGTAGATGTGGGGAGAGCCAGTGTCGTGGCTGGCGAAGACGAGGGACATGGGAGGCTCCAGTGCACTTCGCAATCCAGTTTCCACCCCAGAAGCTCCCTGGGGGACTTTGGTCCAGTCACACATGCTCAACCCAACCTACCTCACAGGTTTGTTGTGAGGAAGACCAGGAGGATGGAGTGCTCTGTGTGCTGCCGTGAACTCCTGAACTAAAGAGGGGATAAAAACCTGACAAATAAATAAATTAGTTACAAGAACTGGCTGAGAACTGGCCCTTCCTTCTCTGCTGGCTTGCCAGCTCCTCCTCGGGATCCCCACCTTTTACAGC